TTTTTAAACCGTTCCCCCTTTTTTTTTTTTTTTTTTTTTTTATTTGTACTGGTTGTGTATAAATTTAACCTTCCTGTTGTCCCGTCCCATCTCTCCCCAATTGTTGGCAGAGTCAGTAGCATGTTATGGGCAGTTATTTAATTAATTTCTCTAACACCTACCCCTACACATTCCTATTGAGACAAGGGTTAGATATACATCTACATACTATATATATATTTGGCTATGTGTTTGTATATATATATATATATGTTTATGTATATGTGTGATTCGGATTAAATAGACGCTACGATTTTTTTATATATGTAAAAAGAAGAAACAGGAAAAATAGAAAATTCTACATCTTGAATCTCTCTCCTTTTTAATTTTAATATTTGTTATCATTTTATTTATTGGTGCTACTGTTTATCTGTAATAATTGCGGGGAAAAAAGATATTAACACTACATATTGTGTCTAGTGAATTTTTTCAAGATATTCCTTAGTACATATTTATTTTTAAACAAAGAAATTACAGATATATCTTAAAAAAACGACGACGAGGACGAGAAACAAACTTTTTTTTGTATTAAAGAATTTAATTCTGACCTTGATTTCCTTTGCCTTCTCCTTCTGCCTTGCATCCTGGTTTTCTTCTGTTGTGTAACAGACCCTCCAGCATTGCCTCTGGAGGCTACAGGGCACCAGCAACCTGCCAGTCGGACTCTTGGATTTGGGCCCAGAGCCTCCAAAAGCACCTAGGTACCTAACGCCCGTTGAAATGAATGGGAGGTAGGCACCAAAATACTTGTGTGGAGCTCAGCCCGAGTCCCCGCTCGGTGAGAAGAGGGTGGTCTGATGGGCAGGAACAAGGAGGCAGGACTCCAGGGTTCCTTCCCAGCCTCTGATGCCGAGGACTGCGGTGATGGTCCCAACCCTGCCTCTGTCTTGTCAGGAGCCAAGCCCCGTGTGCCATACAGGCACGAGTAGACGCGATCCCGGTGGAGCTTACAATCCAAGATGAAAGGAGTGCTTTGAGCCTGCCCTTCACTGCTAATGGACTTGGTGTTTGCAGTTGAAGCAGCGTGTGTGTAACCAGCGGGCAGTGATGGCTCAGCAAGATCTCACTCGCCATCCTGGCCGACAGCGAACAAGGAACTGTTCAGCTCACTGTGCTCATCACTTCGTGAGGGATCTTGATACCATCGCATCTTTTGTGATGTGTTTTGGGGTCTTTGGGAGGAAAAGCTCTTTGGAAGCAGTGTCCTTTCCTCATCAGCCGTGGAGGTGAGTGTATCACATGTCAGTCATCTGGCCACACCAGCAAGGAGCATACAGGATGTTCCTGGATGTCTGGGAGGCGACTCACCTGGGTTAATACAGACCACTGAGTTCATGGCTGCCTTGGTCCTGCTCTTGTGAAGGTAAAGGATCTGGCTTTAATTTAGGGTGGCCTTAGGCAGCTTAACAAGTGGATCTGCAGTCACAGCCTCTGCAGAAGGCAGAGTGGAGGAAAGAGAACGAGTACTTGAGGAGGCTCTGGTTCGTCTTGTTCAGTAACATCTTGTGGAGTGCAGCGGTGAGGTGAGAAGGTGAGCAGGGCCACGCATGGATGCTGCTGCATGAGGAACCCAAGGAGTTGCTTCCCTTGTGTATTTGCCAGCTTTTGGTTTGTGAGGATCTATGGGCTGTTTTGCAGACGGCTGTGCAAGGTGACAAAGACAGCAAGCCTATCCTTGGCAGACCTGCATTGTCTCTATGTGAGCTTACAAGTCAGCACATTGAAAAGATTGAAACCAGCAGGTCAGTGTTGGTCCCCTGGGCTGAGCTGGATGTGAAATCTCAGCATGAGGGAACCCAGGTCTCGCGGATGGATGAGACAGTGGGTCCCTACTATCATTCGCAACACATCAAACCCTGCCTGCTGATGCCGAGCTGGGCTGGCTGCTCCTGGCACCTGGAGGAGAAAAGCATGCTGCACCCCTCTCTTTTGCTTCCTCTGAGGGCTCAGGAGAAGTAGGACATCTGCAGAGCCAGGTGACCTGGTAGCCTACTCCATGAGGCAGTGACTGTGGCTGACTGGATGGCACGTTTCAGCTGGGACAACTCTACCTGCTCAAAGGATTTGCTTGTGTGTGGCTGCAGCAGAGCTGAGGCAGCTGCCTCAAACCACTGCAGTGAGAACCTGCCCAAGCCAGCTCTGAATGAGGTACCTGGGGCCCTGGAAGCAGGCCAGCTCTTCTCCTTTATCCTCCAGGGTGGATATGGCTGGGCTGCCACCTCTCGTGAGGAGAGCTATTGCAGCTCGATGTTGGAGGGGAGCTCAGCCTGGCTAGAGAGGCTGCACATGGGTGAGGAGCTGGGATGCAGGAGCGTGGCTGCCCCTCACCCTGCCCGGCCCGAGCCCGTGTCTCACACCTGGCTCACATGTGCCCTGTTGCGAGGTGAGACGAGGACGCGTGGAGCGAGGCCAGGTTTGCAGGCTGGAGCTCTGATCTCGGTGTGCAGCCTTTCATCCTGCACACGAGAACTTTCCCTCAAAGTCACGTCCACGTTTTGCTGGCTGGCTAATTAAAACGCTATCTTGAGGCAGCCGGCTGGTGCTTTCCTTGTGCCCGCTTCGTTTATTCTGAGGGATTCAAAGAGCAGTGGCACCTTAAGAGGGAGAAAAGGGTGCCCCGGCAGACACAACAGAAATCCCTGACAGCAATGAGAAAAGGGTGCTTTTGGTTGGAAACTCCTTTTGTCTTTCCCGTTTGGCACCTGGTAGCTCATTTAACCCCTTGTTGCTAATGTCTTATGCTGCTGATGGGGTCTGTACATCAGCAACGCTCTGCTTGGGCTCTGCCACCACCTGCAGTGCCTGTTAGAGATGCCTATAAAGCTTCTGTCCTTCAACGTGGTCCCACAAAGGACCTTGGAAGCCCAAAGGAAATCCATCCCACAGGCCATGTCCTCCACTGTCTGCCCACAGGAGCTTTGGTAGTGAGAGATGGGTATTTTTA